ATTATTAATATTTTTAGCCATAAACTATTAAACAAACTTTCTTGCTCCGTGCATATCTCAAAATCCTTTGGCTAAGCCAGAAGCTTCCACAAAATGATCTGGAACTGAGGATTGTCTGGACAACTTATCTGGACCTTGGACTACATTCATCTTATTGCAGCAATATATAACTATTTAACATAGCCTGGCAGTTTATCAACCTGTAAGTTTTCTTATAACACCTTTCAAACCTGACTAATTTGCACTCTGAGTTTCACTTAATTACGTTTACATTAAACGAGATTTATTTGCCATTAAAAATTGTTATGATATCTGAAGTATGGAAAAGTTTTACGCAAAGCACGATTTATGCAACGTAAGTACCAGCAAATACCTGAGCAAAGAAATTATGAGATATTTTATATTTGTTTTCTCTCTCTATTTTTTTTGTTTGTACATATTTTCTTTTTTTTTTGGCTGGCCGCAAAGACCGCAAATGCGGCGCAGTTAGCTATGTAAATGTTTTCGCAGCTGTTTATGTATTTACTTTTAATGCCACTCGAAATGGCGGCTGCCAGTGGCTCCTCCAAGGCGCAGGCGAGCTGCAATTCCATAGAAGCATCAGCAACGAGCAGCAGCAAGCAGCCAACCGCACAGCGCCAAGAAAATGCTAACAATTTTAATTAATGGATAAAGTTCTGTGGAATTCTGGTCGCCGCTCCACGCCCACATGGCAGCAAATTTTGCCAGTGGTCGCGCAGCTGGTTTTGGGGTTGTTGCAGCAGGGCCACCAAATTATGTGTACTTTGTTTGTCTAAATATTTATGCACTGCCAACCAGATTCGTTGCCCACTCAAAAGCATTTTTCTCCAGCTATGCTCAAAGGAACTCGGAGAATTCTAGCTCTTTGTTGCTCTTTGTATTGGCTACAAAGCAGTCAGTTTTATTTTTATTTGAATTTGAATGTTAAATAAGAAAACGCCGTTATTCATTTTCATAAATATATTTATTTATCTGAATATCTCTATAACTATTGCATCAATTGTAGTCCGTAGAATAGACCACAAATACGTATGCTTTTTCTTTTAGGCACCCATCCTCCTTCTATGGTTCTTAGATGACATATATATCCTTGGTCTTATCATACCATTGATAGAGTCCTGGTGAACCTAAATGTTAAGCCGTTCCAACAGCATTCCCTACTCCCTCTATGGTTCCTAGATGACCCACATATCCTTGGTTTTACCATACCATTGATATAGTCCTGGGAAACCTATAGTTCCAAATGCGGATTTTTGTCGGCATCCGCACGAGTAGAAAGACGTATATCGTTCCGAAATCGGGCTGTATTTAGCCGAGTTATTTGCATTTTAATATTTAATCAATGTCGCGGCAACGTGTTTATTGTGGATGGTTATTTTAATGGGCGGCCCAAAAGTATGCAGTGGATCAGCTACTCTTATAGGCTCAAACGTTTTATCTGTTCAGCACGAAAGTATGCAATGCTTTGCGTTACTTCTATATCCACAACCACACGAATTTTTTTGGAAAACTTAAAATGGTCATATCTCGGCCAAATAAAGCCAGATTGCGGTCAAAAAGGGAGGGGCTTCTCGCGTAGGACCATGGAATCGAATGCCATCCACCTTTTTCGGTTTCAGAAAAAAGTCGTTTTTCGAAAAAAACGTGATGACGTATGAAGTTTTTAGAGCGGCGGAGCTATGTCGCTTCAAAACGACATAATCTCGCCATGATCAACGGCGGAGTTATGTCGTTTGGAAACGTCATATCTCCATGATTTTTGTAGAGCGTTGGAGATATGTCGCTTTGAAACGTCATATCTCCAAGTATGCAATGCTTTGCTTTAGTTCTTTGTGCACAACCACACGGATTTTTTTGGAAAACTTTAAATGGTCATATCTCGGCCAAATAAAGCCCGATATAGGGCAGATTGGGAGGGGTTACTCGCGGAGGTCCATAGAATCGAATGCCATCCACCTTTTACGATTTCGGAAAAAAGTCATTTTTCGAAAAAAACGTGATGACGTATGAAGTTTTTAGAGCGGCGGAGCTATGTCGCTTCAAAACGACATAATCTCGCCATGATCAACGGCGGAGTTATGTCGTTTGGAAACGTCATATCTCCATGATTTTTGTAGAGCGTTGGAGATATGTCGCTTTGAAACGTCATATCTCCAAGTATGCAATGCTTTGCTTTAGTTCTTTGTGCACAACCACACGGATTTTTTTGGAAAACTTTAAATGGTCATATCTCGGCCAAATAAAGCCCGATATAGGGCAGATTGGGAGGGGTTACTCGCGGAGGTCCATAGAATCGAATGCCATCCACCTTTTACGATTTCGGAAAAAAGTAATTTTTCGAAAAAAACGTGATGACGTATGAAGTTTTTAGAGCGGCGGAGCTATGTCGCTTCAAAACGACATAATCTCGCCATGATCAACGGCGGAGTTATGTCGTTTGGAAACGTCATATCTCCATGATTTTTGTAGAGCGTTGGAGATATGTCGCTTTGAAACGTCATATCTCCAAGTATGCAATGCTTTGCTTTAGTTCTTTGTGCACAACCACACGGATTTTTTTGGAAAACTTTAAATGGTCATATCTCGGCCAAATAAAGCCCGATATAGGGCAGATTGGGAGGGGTTACTCGCGGAGGTCCATAGAATCGAATGCCATCCACCTTTTACGATTTCGGAAAAAAGTCATTTTTCGAAAAAAACGTGATGACGTATGAAGTTTTTAGAGCGGCGGAGCTATGTCGCTTCAAAACGACATAATCTCGCCATGATCAACGGCGGAGTTATGTCGTTTGGAAACGTCATATCTCCATGATTTTTGTAGAGCGTTGGAGATATGTCGCTTTGAAACGTCATATCTCCAAGTATGCAATGCTTTGCTTTAGTTCTTTGTGCACAACCACACGGATTTTTTTGGAAAACTTTAAATGGTCATATCTCGGCCAAATAAAGCCCGATATAGGGCAGATTGGGAGGGGTTACTCGCGGAGGTCCATAGAATCGAATGCCATCCACCTTTTACGATTTCGGAAAAAAGTAATTTTTCGAAAAAAACGTGATGACGTATGAAGTTTTTAGAGCGGCGGAGCTATGTCGCTTCAAAACGACATAATCTCGCCATGATCAACGGCGGAGTTATGTCGTTTGGAAACGTCATATCTCCATGATTTTTGTAGAGCGTTGGAGATATGTCGCTTTGAAACGTCATATCTCCAAGTATGCAATGCTTTGCTTTAGTTCTTTGTGCACAACCACACGGATTTTTTTGGAAAACTTTAAATGGTCATATCTCGGCCAAATAAAGCCCGATATAGGGCAGATTGGGAGGGGTTACTCGCGGAGGTCCATAGAATCGAATGCCATCCACCTTTTACGATTTCGGAAAAAAGTCATTTTTCGAAAAAAACGTGATGACGTATGAAGTTTTTAGAGCGGCGGAGATATGTCGCTTCAAAACGACATAACTCCGCCGTTGATCATGGCGAGATTATGTCGTTCTGCATATTTTCTGATCTCTTAGAATGAATGGGTGGCAATCGATGGTCGGGATCCGTACGAGTAGAAAGAGGCATACCACTTCGAAATGGGACTTTATTTAGCCGAGTTATTTGCATTTTAATATTTAATCAAATTTTTCTGCAATTTGTTTATTGTGAATGGCTATTTTTATGCGCGGTCCAAAAGTATGCTGTAGAAAAGCTACTCTAATAGGCTCAAGCGCATTATGGGGACAGCTCGAAAGTATGCAATGCTTTCCTTTAAATGGCCATATCGCTGCCAAGTAAAGCTGATAGAGGACAGATTCGGAGGGTTAAGTCGTGGAGACCCATAGAATATATCTTTATATCTCGCCCATTTGAATGGGCATTCACTCTAATGAGCCATACCATGCATCATGTGCTTCAGATTTATTATACACATACATATACAGTACCTGTTGTTGGTCCACGGACATCAGGATAGTCCTTAAAAATTCATAAATAAAAGCCTGTTAATATACAAACCAAAAAATGTGCTCATAAATTGTGGGACGCCATTTCGTTTGCCACTGCGCTGCCTTCTTTACATTTTTAATTTAAAAGTTTGCGATAACAAATGATGCACATCCCTGCACACACACACACACATGCGCCCATTCAGATATGTACTTTAAATAAGAAATAATGTAGACTGCTGATTTAGGAGCTGCCCCCCACAGGCCCAGCTCCTCCTTGACAGCCACACACACATGCATGATTGTACCTATACCTATCTAAAGGAGCATATGTGTGTGTGAATGTCTTCACAAAGGCGGTCGAAATAATGTATAAAGAAATGAAGTAAACTTTGGCGCTAATAAATTGTTTCATATCTCGCTGAAGGCAACGCTAATATACTCCGCCTGGCCAGATAACTCATACGCCGCGTGGCCAACAGCAGGAGCAGCAGCAGCAGCATCAACCGCAGGAGGCGGAGCAACAGCCCCGTTCAACATTCTTTTTTCCTTCATATATGTATGCATATTTATTTCCCCTTTGCTTATCAGCGACTAGCAAAAATGAAAGAAATAAAGCAAAGCGGGTCCTGGCACATGAGAAATTGCCAAACACATTACCACACATTAGCCACGGACACAGACACATAGACAGGACACGGGACACAGGAGTTGCCAGTGCCACATCGCCAGGACTCATAACTGCATATGACTTTGGTTTTTTTCTTTACTTTTTTTTTAACGTGTGCCACATACAGCTGAAATTGTAACAAATAATGATTTTCAAATATTATTTCTTATTTTATCGCGCTGTATTCATGTCATTTATTAAGAGAATCTCCGAATGAGATGCGATATTAAATGATTTTATGCTTCTACTTTATGGACTTTCAAATATGGACTTTATATAAATGATTCCTCGACTTTTTAGTTTTTAAGAATATGGGCTATTAAACAATATTCTGCCCCGAAAGAGGAACACATTGAGTTTAGCTCAAGTTTGACATTTAAAATTGTATTTATTTAATTATTTAATAATTGCTGGGAATACATATTGTAATATAATGTATGTGTGTACGTTTTGTTTAATGTGTATGTGTCCGTGTGTTTGTGTTTATTTATGCTTTTAATAAATTACAATTAAATTTAGTTGGTTTTTGTTTACGATTTGTATGCTTATGGACCTAGTGGAACAATTATTCATTAAACACGTTTAAGTGTAGCTTTATAAATGTGAATTCTACTCGTAATTGTTATCAAACGCTTGAAATTGAATAATTCAAATACACAACGAAATACCTAAGACAGCAGTTGAGTTTTCGGCTGAAAATGTAATGCCATTTAGCAGGTATTAAATACCAGGACATTAAACAGACCCCCCTTTTTTTTGGGCTAGATTTATTTGATATATTTTTTAAGTTTTTGCTTTTCTTCTTTTTCTTTCAAACATATTATGCTCCTTAGATATGTGCTAAGCTGGAAAACGAACTAAATTAAGGCGAAAACTTAAAAGTATTTGAAAAACAGGAAATTCCCAATGCTAGTATAACTATTCAAATATTTTATAGTAATAGAATAGTTTTGGTATAACATACATATTTACACATGAAATTGGCTCTCTTTGGTTACACACTCCTAACTTTGCGAACTGATGGATGTTTAAACTTATTTAAATATAGAGTGTCATATGTATATATATATATATATATATATATATTTGATAAGGTCATGCTAGAAGCTGTGATAAATTAAAGTCCTATTAGTTCATCTAATTTTAATTTTTAACTAATTCTTTTTTAATTAGTTTTTATTTTTTGCTAAATATTCTGCGGCGTTCGTTCGCCTAGCTAACTGGGACCGAAAGTGGGTCTGATACTGGGTCAGAAAACTGGTTCAACTCTTACTATAATACTTGGAGAAGGGTGCATTAGGGGCTTATCGTCTCCCACTTAATTATGTTGTCATAGCTGCATAGGGCTTAAGTCTTAAATAGTGTGTATTTACATATAGCTCGTGACACGCCTCCGATTTCCTCTTAGTCGCGCTCCTCTAGTCGCGCTCCTCGTATTTGGGCACAAAGGAGCCGAGGCCGCCCAGCTGGCTGCACTGGCTGTTGTCATAGAGCGACATCTTGAGCCGTTTGCATTTGGCGCGTCGATTCTTGAACCAGAACTGCACGTTCTTGCTCTCCAGGCGCGGAAACTTTTGGCTGCAAAATGAAAGCAGAGGGAAACGAAAGGAGTTGAAAAAGAATTCTCAGAGTAATATAGATAGAGCTCTGCATTGAGTTACTCGAACAATTAATTGAAAAAGAGTTCGAGCTAATCGAAACACACTTCGAGCTAATCGTTTCATGCGTGTATTGTCTCAGCTGGGCGCAACACAAACATGTTGGCTCAAACATGTTGGCTGACTCGAGCAGCTCGAACATAGTCTGTCGGCTCGATCGAGTATCCGAATCTTATTCGCTAAACTAGGCTTTACTCACCGATAGGGCATGGTGTTCAGATCCTCGGTATACTTGAGTATCAGATTGTGCGAGGGATGCGTATTCATGGCGAACCACTGCTCCAGCTTGGGCACCTCTGTGACGGGATCGATAAAGGTGCGATTGCGCTTACGGCGCTCCTCGTTCGAGATGCTCGACAAGTTGAGACCGGCGCCGCCCATTAACGTATTCGGCTGGAGCCCGGCGGCGGCAGCAGCGGCAGCGGCATGATGAGCATGCGGATGGGCAGCGGCCGCCTGGCCAAAGGCCGGTATATAGTGGCTCATGTACATGAAGGACTGCGAGAACATCGAGTTGGGCACCATGGGAAACGGCAGCTGATCCTTGTGCGGCGTCACGCTGCCCGCCAGATCCGGCGAGGGCGAACGAAACTCATCCAGATGGCTGGTATCCTGCTCATTGTCCTCATCGTCCTCGTCCATGTCCAGGTCATCGTCCTCCTCTTTGGGCGTGCTGCGCTTCGGCGGGCTGCCGGACTCTTGCTCGTTGTTGTTGTTATTATTGTTGTTGTTGGCGCCGGCCTCGTCGCCGAGCGCATTGCCAGTCGCCTCGACATTGGCATTGTTGGAGTTAGAGTTGTCATTGTCATGCGTTGCGGCTTCATCGCCCATCTGCAGCACAGCGGGCTTCTCCTCGTGCTCATCGACGCCGTTGACCACATCGCTGCCGGCGCTCTTGGAGCGCTGCGGCTCTTGCTGCTGCTGCTGCTCGGCCCGCAGCTGCTGCCTCTGTTGCTGCTCGTCCTCGTCGTCATCCTCGAGCATGGGCGAGCTGCGATGGCGCTCGTGTGTGGTTAGTGAAAGCGGCAGCTGCGGTGTGCTTGGCCTGCTGGGCTCCTCCTCCAGCTCGTCGGAGTGCTGGGACATGGTGTCAATATCCTCGGACTTCAAGCTCATGGGACTCTTGAGATAGTCGTGCGACATGGACAGATTGCCCATGCTCAGCGGCTGGCTGCCGGCGCTGCTGCTCGAGTTCTGGCCCAGCGGAGCATGCCCGCTCAGATAACCATTCATGGCGGCATGTCCCAAGGCGCTCATCGCGTTCCCGAGGCTGCCGCCGCGCATCTCGGCGCGCTTCTGGGCGGCGCGCGCATTCTTGAACCAGTAGACCACGTTGTTGACGTCGAGCGGCTTGCGGCCGCGGCGCGACTCCAGCGCGTTCAGCTGCACCACATAGGTTTGGATTTGCTGGCGCGAGGGATGCGGATTCTCGGCGAACCACTTCTGCAGCTTGGGCAGCTCCATCTCCGGATCAAAGCTGGTGCGCATGCGCGTCTTCTGGCTGGGATACTGGCCGCCATGCGCCTGCGCATGATGATGATGATGCATGCTGGCCGCGTGCATCGGATGCACCAGCATATTGCCATGATGCCCGCCCGCCTGGGCCTGGCCCACAGCCGCATTGGGATGATGTCCAGCTGCTGCTGCCGCCGCCGCAGCGGCCGCAGCTGCCTCGTTGGCCAGCAGCAGCGACTCGCGACTGCTCATCGCGCCCAGCGGATTGGCAGCGCCGCCAGCGCCAGCTGCAGCGGCATGGGCCGCGGCCGCAGCAGCTGCGGCCATTGCCGTGCCCACCGGAAAGTCCATGTCGCCGGGCACCACCGGCACCGTCGACGGCGCCGACATGAACGGCAGCATCTTTGGCGTCATCGCCGACTGCGGCGAGAGCTGATTGGACCACCACTGATCGAATTTGCGACGCAGCTCATCCGGTATCTCGCCGCCGGGCAGAGCGTACGTATTCTGATGCGAGCTACGGCAAATTTGCGAGAGCGTCACCTGCAAACGAGAAGGGGAAACGATTAGGCTTGCATACAAATGTAAGTAATCTCTATATAAAAAACTGTTATTCAAAACATATCACTTTTATGATATCTTCCCTCGTTCCCGACATAAATGGAAAGAAGCTCCGAAAGAAGTAGCAACGTCGCGCAGCTAGGTTAAGTTTGTTTCTAGCCAATACGACAGCCCCTTGGTCGGTTGAGTGGGAGATTCTACCGGGACTTAGGCGAAGGAACACCACACTAACAAGTAAGTCGCGAGTTCCCGACTAGGGGATACCCTGAACGCACTTCTACCAACACCTTATACAGAAAACTCATGTCAAAATAAGCAAACGTTTTCTCAAATAACTTTTGTGTTTCTTAACCGATCTTGATAAAACTTTTAACAATAATTCCAATTGTGCTATAGAATACTCAACAGATGTTAAAAAGACAATGGCTTTAAAATTGTGGCCTAAATTTGTGGGTAGTACTTTGATATAGCTATGCAATTAAAGATACTTTATATATATAAATACTATTCAAGAAGCTACATGTCAAATTTGGTGCCTTTAGCTCCTCTAACTTACGAGATTTGCTCAAAAAACCGGATTTCGATATCGATTCTTATCGATTACTTGCAAGTTATCGATTATCTGAAACAAACTCGTACGAGGAGTACCTACATTTCAAATTTAAAGTCCTTAGCTCTTATAGGCTCTGAGATCCAGACGGGCAAACAGACGGACATGGCTAGATCGACTCGGCTGTTGATGCTGATCAAGAGTACCTCATGGGGTCGGAGATGCCTCCATCTGCCTGTTAAATACATTATACCCTGTTACCCATTTTTAATGTGTTCAGGGTATTAAAACTGGGTGCAATGAGTAGGAGGCATGACTGTACAGGTAACTGATTGGTTGTCGCCAGTGCACTTAGCCGGTTTGAGCCCACGTCTGGCCCACTAAGCGGCTGTCATAAAAATCAAAGTTGAGTCGCATTGGGTTGGTTTGGGTTTTGGTGCGGTTTTGGTTTGGTTTGTTAAGGCCCTCAAGTGGCCGGGATTTACTTAGCCATAAATGTGCGCGACTGTGTTGGCTCTGATTGCGGCAGACTCAAAATTGCCTATAACGATATAGAACTGATACCCCACAAAAAATGAAAAAAAAAAAGAAAAAAAAAAACTGATATTAACTGACTGACGGACGGCAACGTCAGGCGCGATAAATAGATAGTCCCTATGGCCCGATAGGGGACGACGACACAACAGCTTATGCGATTAAAATTGAATTTAATGTTCAGAAATAGAAACGAAACAGAAAATTCACCCGTTTCAGAGGGAAGCGGTAGCAATGCCCAATCGCACATATATATATATATGTATTTGTGGGTATATAGTCGAGAGGTGGTGAGGGTATAGGTGGGTCGTATTAAATGCTCATTGATACTCGCCTCAAATACGTGCGCTTCTGCCAGCTCCACCTAATAGATAATGTCTGTCGCTATCAGCTAAGGAGGCGCCCCAAATCACTTAAGCTGCTCGAAACATAGCACAGGGAAGGGGGAGGGGGCGGGGAGTAGGGTAAGGAAGGTGTTATAGACAACTAATTGTAAATAAAATGTGTGTTGAGCGGGCGAGTGGGTAGAGGGGAGGGGGGGAGGTTACGGCGAGCAATTATTAAATTGATTTTCATATCGTTGGTGACTTTCGCAATTCTCGGAACACAGACGAACATTAGCCACGGGACCACAATCAAAGGGTATCTGTGTGAGTGTGCGTGTGTGTGGAGGGAATTATAGGAATATATATGCTTATCATGTGATTAGAGGGGCAAACGCTTTGCTAATATTAATCAGGGCCAATAAAATTAGTCGCAATATCAATTGAAGGGTATTTCGGTCGTGATTTCCGATAGCGACAACAACAACAACAACTACAAACATATAGACATGAAAATACTCTGATTTATGACTGACTGCAGTCGAGGGGCGGTCGGTCGGGTGTTTGTGGTGGAGGATTTAGATGTGGGTCATGCGCTGCCCGCAGAACTCTTTAAGACTATGATCTGCCCGGCTGTGTTGGCCACAAATAAGCCCAGTGTTAGCAATTGAGCTCTACACAATCGGAAAGTTTACACATATATAGCTCTATATATATGGAAGGGTTTTTTCTGACTGACTGACTGGGAATCATAATGAAATTGTCAAGCCTAGGGAGCAGGACTTCTTACTTGCAAAGCGAGCTCTTGATATAGCAAAGCGTGTTCCGAGCTTGTATGAAAAACAACGCAAACGTGTTATAAGCGTGGCTTAGACTTAGACTCTGGCGGACATATAGAACGACAGAAAGAAACGTAGAAGATAGACAGAGAGACGGACAGACAGACAAGGAGAGCGACAGATAGACAATCAGACAGGCGAAGAGACGGGGAGATGTTGGACCAGCCAGCGGAAGATCGCCGCTACAATTTCAGCAGAAATCCTCCGAGAGACAGGCAGAGAGACGGCAAGATGTCGGACTGGTAAGCGAAAGATCGCCGGTTCAAATCCAGCAAAAATACTTAGAAGTCAAGTGCTTCTGGCTTCTGCAACTGCCTCAAATGCACAACATTATTCATTTGAGCCGCGCAATGCCGCTTAATTTCTTTAAGTCTTGTACATATGTGTGTGTGTAAGAAATCGTTAGACATTTTTTTCAGTGTGTTCGGCGATAAGCGCAAAGCTGATTACAAATGAAAACTATTGCAGAAAAAGGATTAGTTAGGTGAACCAAAATAAATGAAGTCGGCTTAACAAACATTTCTTTGTAGTCGGAATTATTATCAAAAGCATTTTCTATGAATTTCATATGCATGCAATATAAAGACACACACACACACAAGCACACACACACAGCCAGGCAGGCAGACAGACGGCATTGGCTGGTTCGAAAACTCAAGCATTTTCCAGGGGCAGGATACGCAAAAAACTTTTGTTGCCAACAGTTGGCTCTTTATACGTGTGTGTGCGTGTGAGTTAGTGTGTGCGTGTATGTGTGTTTATGCCTCAATTCACGCAAATTAGCGGTTTGAGTTTTCATGGGTTCTACGCAACGCGCTGCTTAGCTGCGGCTTAGTCTACAAAATGTTAAAATGTTGCCGGGCTCGAAGTTTTTGGGAAGTTTTTCGGTAACTCTCACAAGACGCCAGCTAATAGGCCAGGCTAGGTTGTTGTTGTTGCCGTAAACCGCTTATGAATCATTATAGAATTTTGTCAACTTAACGCACAGTTTTGTAGTGAGAGTTCAAAGTGAATGTCTAATTAGCTAACAGTTTTGTGTGTGTGTGTGTGTGTGTGTGTGTGTGGACTCACCTCATCCAGGGGGCAGCCGGTGGAGCGGAGCAGCGCGTGCGATTGCAGCACAAGCAGCTTGAGCAGCTTGTCCTTGATCTCGCCAAAGGGTGAGGTCTTCGGGCGCAATATGACAATACGCAGCGTTATGACCGAGGTCAGTTCACCCACAATATCGCTAACCGGCACAGCCGGATTATCAGAGATCTGTTCCAATGGTATGGGCTTCCAGTGCTTGATGATGAGCGAGCCTAACAGATTAGGAGGAAGAGAAAGAGAAAGAGAATGCGTAAATATGCAGGTTCCATAAAGCGTAGGACAAATCCACTTCTAGACTAATTCCACTGTGAACATTTCTTATATTTTTTGCGAATTGATTCACATTTGAAAAAAATGTTACACTCGCAAAAAATGTAAGAAATGTTGACAATATTTCATAAATATTTTTCTAATGTGAAATATGTGGCCTGTACGTTTTCTCATCAGAAACCATATTTTTCACATTCGCAAAAAAATGGTTCATTCAATGTAACGAATGTAACATTTGTGGACACTCGTTAATGGAATCGCACAATGTAAAGTTTGTTAATGTAACATTTATTGAGCATAGTGGAATCAGGCTATTTTATACGCTTCCCCTAAAAGGGTATTCAAGACGTCTTAACCAAATTCTGGCACTCACCTCTTGCCGTGTTGGCCACCTCCTGCGAGTAGCCGAGACGCTGCAGCGCCGTCTGGACTATTTCGCTCCAGGGCGTGGCCGCTGCGATGATCACATAGCTGTCCGTCTCGATGTTGGGCCGCCGTTTCCACGGCTGGCGTGTGTCTATGGTGAGCGAGGCGTGCAGCGAGTGCACGGACTCCACTACGCAGTGCAGCGGAAGCGATTTCGCTGCAATAGAGAGAGAGGGAGAGAGAGAGATGGAATAAGTGAGAGAGGGCGACGGAGAAATTAGAGGGCTTTTTGGAAATTCATTTTAATAATCATAAATTTTGTGAAGATTTTAAAGCACTCAAAAAACAACCAAATTAGTTGCAAATACCCTGTAGCAAATATATATACCTAAAGGGCATGCTGTTTATACAAAATCACAATAAATAAATAAATAAAGTGCTCAAGTTTTATATTTGCGCAGATCAAGTACTTTGCACTCCACTTCAAGTACAAAAATTGTTGAAATTTTTTTCATAGCAGTTCGTATACTCAAAATATATATTATGAATTTCAGAATAGGCTATTTTTTAGGCAGGTCTTTTATCAAATTTTTCTTGACTTGGGAACTTCTAGTATTGAATAGTATTGAATTTCTTTAAAGCAGTTCGTATACTATTTCAAAAGCCAAATATAAGTATATAAATTAAAAATAAGAATATATATTCTTACAAATTTTTATATGCGTTTAATGAATAGAAATGATATTTCCTGCTGATGTTTCAAAAATAGCTGACAAAAGAAGCTGTTTGTTCTTTCGGCAGGTATTTGTATAGTTTCTTGACAAAAGAGCATAATTATTCGTTTCTTTAAATAATATAATTTAACTTTTATTTAATTTACTTTTATCTAGGGTATTTGCAAAGTCGTGCTTCTGCGGCAGCATCTAATTACTGCCTAACTCTAGGGCCTGCTGCAACTGCTGCTAATCGGTTTAGTGTTCAGTTCGGAACGCTTCAAATGGCGTCAAGTGCAAATCGGCCAAATGAAAATAATCAATTAAAACATATTTTATATGTTGCCCAGACCTTGCCAAACTGAGAGATATTTCAATAAATTATTGCATGCTGCGGTTAGCCGCAAAATGGTTTTAGCCGCTTACCCCCTATATTGGCAGGATTATGAATACATTATGCATAATAGGCTAAATAATTATAAATTAATAATGGGGAACTTGCCACCGAATAGTTGGCCAAATGATTGGCCAGCGAGTAAAAGAGTTGCTTCGTCAAAAACAACGCAGCGCCTGTGTCTGAGAGTCGAACCAACGAGCCGGAGACACGCCAGTTCAAATCTAGCAGCAATTTGCAGTTATATTTCTATTTTTTACCTTCAGCAAACTCAGCACGAAGTTAAGTGAACCAAATTCCGTGAAAATATATATATCCATATTGGGAAATGCTCGGCTCTTTTTTGCCGTGCAACGCCGGTCAATTTCTTCTAGTCAGCCCAAATATAAGCATAAGTATAACCATAGCACTCCCATATAAAGAAGTCAACCTCCATAAATAAACATATATAAATAAAGAACTTAAATGGCGCATTTTCAAGCCGTGCAACGCCGGTCAATTTCTTCTAGTCAGCCCAAATATATTAGTTGGTAGCATAACTGTAGCCATAACACGGCCATATAAATCGCATTTTGGCCTAAAACACAACACTTTTTCGCGACCAATTATGTGGAGCTTAAAAATAATTTACCAAAATGTTTGCCAATAGCGAAAAACGCAAATGCAATGCACGCCCGATGCCCAATCCAAAGCTGCAAATGCATTCGCCAGGGATGGAGAGGGAGAGAGAGGGGGGAGGGGGGGTGAGGGTTATACCAGTAGCAAATAGGCTTAACGCCCGCGCTGCTGGCGGCCATAATGGTATTATTAATTATTCCAATTATAAAAATTGTAAGCAGCGCGCAGATTGCTGGCGATTGGCATTTGGGCGCGTTTTAAACAGCCAGAAGAACGCGGCCAAAAGTTGCTGCCACAATTATGAGCGATTTTAACTATACATCAATATATATACACACACATATGTTGTTGTTGTGTCCGCCTGCAAATCTTTTAATTGCCATAAAATCCTTATTGGGCATTAAAAATAAATATATCAATTGTATTGAACATATATATATATATATATACATGTTCGTGCATCACATACATGTACGTATGCATATATGAAATAATTTAAAAAGGAATAAACAATTATGTGGCATAAAAGAGGCGTACGCCTGAAGGTATTTACAATACGCTCCGGAGCTACAATAAAAATATTGCTGAAGATGTGCTTAAAAAAGTCAACTTTTGAAAAGAGAAGTTGGAAAATTTCTTAAGGAATTCTTTAGAGATATTATAATTTAATTAAATATTTCTTTTTGTAAGCCTTTATAGGATATCTGTTTAGTTAATCACAAATTATATTTATTTGATATGTATTTTAAAAGTTGAATATGAAAATGTGCTTAACAAATTCAAAGGAACGCCTTTGAGAGCAGAAAATTTCTTTTAGAATTCTTCAGAAGTTTATTAATTTCATTTAATTTAAAAAAGTTGCATATTTTAAATGTTAACACAACAAATAAATAATTTAAATTTATATATATATATATTCTATAAAATTATATTCGTTTATGTTTCAATTGAATTTTCGGCATTTTAGTTAATTTATAATCTTTGATCTGCTGCAGAGTCTATGAAATTTAAAACAATAAGGGCATACGGCACATTTTCGAGGGCCAGATGCCACATACATATGCTCACACACATATACATATACATATACATATATAAATATATATTAAAGCCATGTTCGGCGTCCTTTTTGTTGTATTTTAGCGTAATATACGCAATGAGGATTTTAACAGGGACATAAACCTGAGGGCTGTTGGCTCTGGGTTTTCGGGGCAGACCGTTTTTGGCTTTGGCATTATGCATTACGTTGGACCTGGGGCCTGTGGGGCATAGGGGCCGCCTTTATAGGTGGCATAGGTGCGCTGACTGAGGCTTTGGCTGAAATGGCGGCGGCCAAAGAACAATAGAGCGAAAATGCGTAGCGCAACCGAATAATAAACTCATTAAATCCATTATCCTGGCCCATGATTTGGGGGCTAACACAAAAGCCGATTTCATGTGCATGCATATGTGCATGTGCGCCGGTCTCTGGCTCTGTGCGTATATGTGTGGGTGTGTGTGTGTGGGTGTGTGTGTGTAGAGCCACAGCCGCTAATTGTTGCGTTGCCCAGTCCCAAAATAGCCGCCAGTTCTGACAGCACTCAAAAATGGCGCTGATTTTGAATGGGGATCGAGAGGGAAGGGGGGGGGGGGGGGGTTGAGAGGAGAGTGCAGCTCTTAAGTAGCCCCCCTCCGGGCCCACCCACGGCCGGGCAACCGAGCGACTGGCGCATCGCTGGGCGGCGCTTATCCTTATTAGCATTATCAGTGGCAAAAATAATCGAGACAGCAGCCGGCGCACGGGCCAAACAAATTGAATTAAAAACGTTTGAGGCATTAAATCTCAGCCAGGCAGGCAGACGAGTAGACAGCCCCACCCACACAACAAACCACCGCCCCCCGGCTCCCACCCACCGACCGTTGGCCTAAGCTGACAAACGATTTGTAATGAACTCCACTTGCATAGGCTTAGACGCTGTCGTCGCGCTGACTCCACCCCGCGCACCCCGCCTCTCCGACCGCCCTGCATGACGACTTTTCCATTTTCTCTTATATTTTTTGCCCTGTGTCGCAGCTTTAGATTTATTAACCTGCGTCGAAGTCGCAGTCGCGTTACCAACTCGGCGAGCGCAAAAATAATGAAGTTGCCAATTGCCTTGATACCGTTTGAATGTGATATGTTCTCATAATACCCTGTACTGGCAGATTATATAACTTTTTTGCATTTAAAGCCTAGTTACGCAAGAGATCAAAGCGGAAAACTGTGCGATTGATAAGCTTGTCAGGTAATATAAATAATACAGGGTATTCAGGCAGCTAGTCAAGGCATTGGCAAAGTATACACTGTTAACTATTCGAGGCTATTTTAAGTATAAAAAAAATATCTTACATTACATTACATTACAATAATTCTCCATGTTTACAGGGTATTCCAAAAAGAGGTTGTAGACATGCTACATAGGAATACAGGGTACAGGTACATAGGAATACAGGCTATTCAAGCATCGAGTCAAGGCATTTGCAAAACTATCTACGAAGTAAATGTTGCCTTTTCCATAAGAAATTATCTTAAAAGCCTTACATTCATATATATAATAAATTCAATTGCTCTCAATATTTACAGGGTATTCCATAGAGCAATTGTAGACATGCTACTTAGAAATATAAAATAATAAATAAATATCCCATTCTTGTTTAAGGCAGCAAACTCTTCGAGCAGTCAGGCAACACAGACTGTTCACAAGTTCCCAATTATGATTACAGGGTATCGGGCTAGTCGCGCAACTGTTGCATGCTGGCGGCTGGCTCTTGATTACCCTGCAGAGAGAGTGTTCTGTCTTTGGCTTATCGCAATCTGAATTGAAAGTTCGTAATAAATGGGATATTTGTGATTCGGTTTGCTTGTTAGAGACGTCAGCTAAGCCCCTTTCATAGTATGCCCAGGACTATTTTGAGGCTGATTGCGCAACAGCCAGAGGCGGCAAATTAGCAGGGGTGAGAGCAAGCCAGCCACCCTTCCCTCCCCTCCCCTCTCCCAGCCAATCCTCCACAAGATTTTAATCTTTGAAAGTTTTTGTAGCATTCACGTGTGCAGCTTGGCATGAAATTTTATTGTGGAAATGGCAGTAAGACGGTGTGTGTGTGTGTGTGTGCCTGGTTGTGCGCGCTTTTGGCTTTCTTCTAAGAAATTGACCAATTGACTGACCACAGCAGCCGAGACCAACAATAATTATGAATCGCCTACGCACAACATCAAAACGACTTAATCCCCAACTAAGAAACACACACACACGCAGTAACAGTGTGTGTGTGTGTGTGTGTGTGTGCGGGGGGAGAAGAACAATTTAAGTGACTGCTGGCAAGGATTATGTAAGTTTTGCAGCTGAAAATATCCTTTGACCAACAAATATTTGTAGTTCTGCTTTTTCTGACAAACTTGACCCGAGTCCTGCGGCAGCAGGGGGGGGGGGAAGGGGGGCGGGGTTACAGCTCTTTCGGCTTGCCGAATAAATT